TACTTTAACCATCATAATTGGGAACAAAGAGACAAAGAGTTGTTGTTTTTTTTTTGTTTAAAAGAAAGGGAAATCTGACTAAACATTTGTTAAAAAAAGAAGCACAACAGATCTAGAATTTCATTTCTATTGGCCCAAAGGGGTGAACTGTGGAACTACTGTATTTTGTCTGGCTTCCTACAGTGTAATTGATGTAATTGTAAGTGCCCTGAGTTAATTTTTAAGCCAGTTTTGTTTTATGTGTAACTTATATGGTAATGTTTAATTGACATAATCTACTGTTACATACTTCAAGTGTCAGGAGTTTGTATCCATTAATTTTTGGAGATTATACAGGTATTTGCAGTTCGATAGCTGTATTATTTTCTATGTGTTCTGTGCACAAAGATCTTATTGTGATGAAAGTCCTTGTGTTTTTTTTCTACAATTTCTGTGACTTGTGGTACTTTCTTATACAAGTGCTACTTTAGACATGCAAGCATCAGGTGTACTACATTATTTTCCACTGATTCTTTAAATAGCGTCTTGGCGTGTATCGTGGAAATTTGGTTCTTAGAAATCAATATCAAACCCTAGAATATAATACATACAAAAAGATCACTTTTGCTTATGGTGTACTGATTCCTGATCTACAGAATAACAACATCTCCCCTTGACACAGCAAGCACAGTACAACCACAAAAAGGTGCAGATAAAATGCAACACTGCAATCCTGAAACAGAGTATTTGGAACTGGTCAATCCAAAAATACATGCAGTGCTGAAAAACTAAACTAAAGTCACATGAAAAATCTAATGAAACTCCTGTTAAGGGGAGAAAACAGCACATTTAAGCTGTTTAAATAATTTAATAGAACACCAAGTCTTCAACTTCGCGCCGATGCCATTTCAACATTCACATGTCTGAAATTTTCAGATCCAAGAACAGCTAGTATATGAGAGGGGACTGTCAAAACGGTGTACTGTATGTCCCTGCAGTACAATATTGTAAAACAAAGATCTAGTGTTGCTTTTGTGGTACACAGTTAGGGGAAATGGCTTAATATCATCCCATTCTCCCACATCAAGATACAGCCTCAGAAAGCTGATGTGTTGATTTAAGGCCCGTTTTTTCAGAGAAGATAATGATAACGAAGCAAGATGTTAGTTGGAAAATTTGAATTTAACTGGGAAAAAAAAGCAACGTTTAAAATCAATTCACAGGTCTCTCCAGTCTCTTGTCGACATGGAACTTGTTCAACAAGACAGTGGAACAGAAGACTGCAACCATAATTATTATTAATATATTTTTGGAAATGCTTATGACTGAATGGACACAAATGGACAGAAATCTGAACGTTTTCTAATCTTTCCCTAATTTGCTACATTTCACGGAGTCCGTTCAGGTGACCCTATACTTTTTGCACCAGTTGAGTATCAATCAGAAACCCCAGGCATACAGCAGTCCTTATGACTGTCCACACTGGTTCTTTGTGAAATCTGGTCAAAAGCAGCTCTCTGTTTCCATATGAAGTGTTTAGGGAAAACTAGACCATTCCATCATATTTGGGAGTGCGACAGTATTTTTAAATTATCAGGAATCTACTGGCACATCACCACATACTGTATAAAAGTAACTTCACAATCCTAACCACATACAGTACAAAGAATGGAGAACTACACGAAGCATTGACTAGAGCCTGGTAATACAACTGATCCATTTCAAAACAATTCCTGAGCCCTCAATTGAGTCAAGAGAGCCCTGTGTAAATGTGGGACAAGGGTGACGGGCATTTTGGAAGACGGGCTTCAGAGTGAGAGGAGAGATGTGTGCGATATGCTACCATCACTCCAATGAACTGCATTCTGTACACTACACACCTAAGGGATGTTTTAAAGGTTGCTTTTTTAAATGTGTCGTTTCTCTTTTCAGATTCCGGCAAACCGGGACTCACGAAGGGAAAACTTGATCATGATACCCCAGTTTACAGTAGGTAAACATTTGAAGGCAGGGCGCTCCTGAATTGTAGTTTCGCAGCTGTTAGGAGCGAGTCTGTCTTCCGTCAGTCCCCTGTGGACAAGCCCTCGGACAGTCTTCAAGCACTTCAAAAGTCATTTCCTGCATGCAAAATGTAGCGTCATAGTAGCGCTCAACGTTTCTCCTGTGGCGGTCTGGTTCCACACGTCTGACACGACTACCCAATATCTTAGGTTACGGTAACAGAACTAAAGCGAGTTCTTCTTTTTAAAAAAAATGTAACTTTCCAAAGATAACGAAAGAAAGAACTCCGTTATGTGTATCATAATCAATGCTCGCTCGTGTCGTTATCTTAAAATGTTTTGTATGACCTTAGGAAGTTGTGGAAAAGAAAGTGTCCTACCCCCTTCATCGCAGCTACTACCAAGCTCCCCGTCCGTGAAGGCGTCGAGGTCGTCATCGTCGTCGTAGTAGTATGTCGCCTCGTCCTCTCGGTTGTCTTCTTCGACGTACTTCGGGGTCGTTTCGCTCGTCATAACGGGGGTTTTCCAGAGTTAAGCCGCCCGAGGACTCCGGCAGCTACTCCACACATTGTCACCTGATATTGCCATGTCTTTGGTGAACTTTCACCCTCCCTTCCTCCATGCCCGGACCCGTCCGCCTCCATAAGAGGAGAGCAGGCGGCCGGATCTCTCTCCTCACCCCGTCACACTGATTACTGAAGGACCGGGACTGCGCTGTGACTTCTCTCGGCTTCTCCCCCTCTCAAATAATAATAATAATAATAATAAGCAATCGCTTTGTGTGCAACTATCATTGGGATGGAGACTCTGGCTTCTGTTCCCGTTGAGTTGAGTTTCATTTAAAAAGATTCAGCACCGGCCTCTTCCAGCCCGGGAGATATTAGGACGGACCCAGCAGCCTGTGGCTGCTCGTACCACCTGCCAGCTTGGGATCTTGGGAGGTGTAGTCGGCCCTCTCCTTTTCTTCTTTTTGTGGAGGGTAACGCACTGAACAGGGGGTAATATATACGACTGGGGTCGTATAAAGCCCAACGCAGACCTGTGGTGTTGCATTGCTGGATTAAGGAGCAAAAAGCTAAGCTGTAAACATGTCAATACTCCATAGCGATACGAAAGAAATGTGATGCAACCTGAGCTTTATTCACCTGTTACTGTACCTCTGCTGTACGTGGTATCTAACCAAAATAACAACATTTGCCATCGCTAGTAATTAAGTCCTTTGAGGACAAGGTCCAAAGACCACATTATGTAACCCACTTCTTATAAAAAAAATACCCTTACGATCTGGGAGGATATAAACCATAACAAATACGACATAATGATGTTAACTTCAGGACCAGGGACAGAGCATGAGTGACTCATCTCTTGCGACTGAATGAACAAACATCTCCGTTTTGTGATTGTATGTTCTGTCCCTCGTTCCCCAGAAAAAAAAAAAAACCTAACCCCGCCAAAAAAAAAAAAAAAAGAAGAACGCTTGCTAAAAGTAAGCAAATGGTTTCTGCTCAAAATACGTTTACATCTATCTAAATAATGCCAACAAAGGTAGTTAAGCTTCAATCATAATTAAACCGTTGACGCCTTTTATCTTATTTAGATCGTTTCCAATGTTTACGGCAAATGGCACGTCGGCATCACACTCGATTTAATTTTAATTTTTTCTTCTGCACAATTTCTGGACACTGCGGTGCACATATACAGTGATCGGCGCAGTATACGCACATTATGTATACAGTATATGTTTGGTCATACTTTTCAAGGACATCAGTTCTTAATTCGTGTGCTAAGTCAAAGCACCGAATGAATAAAAAATGGAAACGTTTTACGGTACCTTCAAAATATTTATTTTTCACCACTAGAGGTCGCTTTACGATAGGCTTCCCAGCGGGCAGCGTGAACGCACTGAAGTTGGAAATGTTTCAGTTTCTTTCACGTTTTTGTTCTCACAGAGACTACCAGGGCAGTGATTAAGGCAGCTGTAAATCAAGCGCTTGCTGCGTTTATTATTCGTTTAAAAACACCCCGTTTGCAAGTCAGGATCACAGAGGGTAAGTTCGGGTCCGCTTCGGGACTTTTCTTTGGGCTGTTTTAGGTTTCCATAGCATTTGTAAGGCACCGGTTTTGTTTATGCTCAGTTTAAAGCTTTTAGTTACGAACTTTAAGGAGTCTTGAAACATATCCTTCCGATAAAAAAAACATGCTGTTTATTGTTCTTTTTAGAATCCATGGGTACACATACACATCAGAAATATTAAGTTTAAGACGGTACATGTGCAAGAATGTGCATCGTTGTTGTAATGTGTCCGGTATTGGCCGTGTACGCGCAGTTGTAATGTATTTTCTCTTTAAGCGTATCCGTTTAAATGCATCGTAAAGAAAGTATGCCAGTGCGAATTTATCGTAGTATACTTTTGTTCTGGTTTTACGTTAGCTTCATTTTGTTTACACATAATTTTAAGATGCTTTAGCCCTGCTTTACTACACCGTATATTGGAAATCGTAGAGTGTACAGTGTGTTGGTATCCTCATCGACACTACTACTGAAGTGAGATAAAAATCACGATATCAGAACGAAAACAGATTAAGGATTAACCGTGATAACCTAGTTTAAAAGTTGAGGGGCGGAGAAAGTGTGCTGGTCAGATTTCTATCGCCAAGTAATTTGTATCTGAGGAGAAGCACAGTGTAACTGCGTTTACCGTTTACAGTAATGTATGTTCACGCCTTGTTTTCTGTGAGGGCTTAGTTGAAGGGAAACGAATTGCGTAATTTATCTTCCTCTGATTTCATTTGAAAGACGAAGAAATTAACACAGTACAGTGATCACAGATACAGTACATTCAGTCGATCGCTGCGTATTATTCTTTACGGTAAAATAATCATGAGAGTCTGTGTAATATTCTGGTTGGTGTGCTCGCATTTAAAAGTATGAGCGTTTGTATGGTGTTATCTATACTTTGATGCCTGGCTTTATTAAAGGGTGATAAAGGGGTGTACTAAAGTTGAAGTGGTCTTGTAAAAAATTAAATTGGAAAGTTGACAGCGAATTTCACCTGGGGCTCCGTTGCCCTG